AGGTCTACACATCCCATTGTTCCGTCTGTCTATATCAGAGCTGTTAACAACATCTACATTTGTAAAAGCATCGAATGACAGACTGAACTGTTGCAGATGAACATTAGTTTGTTTTATCAGGAGAGCATCATGTTTCATGGAATGACACACCTCTTTACGAGGCAATTTTGGAGCATACTTTGCTAGCAGATCATCATCCTTCAATTTCATGGAGACATGGAGAGCTGACACAGTGGTGTTACTGCTCAACCCATTAAATGAGTCAAAGTTTTCAGACTCTGCCTAATGATCAGCATTGAGAGTCCCAACAGCAGTGTGAAGAACAAGGTACATCACCAAAAATGTATAGAGGTGTCCAAAAATTCCAAAGCCACCTAATTATCTTCTCCTCATCCTTGGCATTGTACAATTGACCTTCTCCTTAAGGCCATTTCCCCGGGACTAAAGTATATCAGCTCTAACACCAAGAAACTAAAGCCATGGAGGAGTACATTAAAGGGACTGATCAATGGATTTATTTGACTTTATACCTCACCCGTCACAGCTGGCTTTTTCTTTGTTGAAAAGAAGGATGGAGGTTTACAGCCATGCATCGATTACAGAGGTCTCAACAATGAAATCATCAAGTTTAGCTACCCACTGCCTCTCATTCCAGCAGGCATTGAACAACTCACAGAAGCCAAAGTATATACCACTATTTTTGGTTTCCACTACATTCATTCTTTCATGGCTGGGCGCCACACCAAAATTGATCCCGCTACATTACAGCTTTTCATTCAAAACATTCAGTCGTGTTTTTGTCTTAATAGCTGATGCTAATCGCACCGAAACTTATTAAAAGGTAAGTGAATTATAACAGCGCAAACTTTTCTGCAACCGTAATAGTGTTGTGCATTATTTGTTTGAACCTTTAAGGACAGACTGACTGACTGACAGGTGCGTGATGCATGAGGCCAGCAAACACAACTTATAGCCGTTTCACTTTACTTCAGGACGCATTAATACCACTCTGTAGGTCTATTAGAGACATTCATAAATATTCCTAGGAAATATAATAAATGTTGGAGATAGGGTTAGGCAATGTTGATTAATTTGGCATCGTACGATGTCTAATGTGAAACATCCCGATGGAAATTCATCGCCATCATTGTCTTAGGCAGGGTGTGAGGAACATTGTTAAATATCAATTCATTCATAACGATTTAATTAATTGTAGCCTACCGTTTTTCACTACCTGACCCACATGGTATTTGCTTTACCCATAACCAAACCATAAATAAATAAATAAAGTTACAAACAAATTACCACCTATCAATCACTTTTTTTTGCAGGACTCTGGCATGAATAGGCAGTGATTTGTGTCGTTCTAATGGCTTTTACCACAGCTGGTGGAGGAGAATTCATTTGGAGTTCACTGTAGTGCATATATTTTCATTGTTTTCATTGCAAAATCCTCACTGTGTGCGTGGATTTAGGAGACATTTATGTAGAATGCATCTTTGCACCTAAAAACGCCACTCAGGAACAGATTAAAACAGTTGTTATGTGTTTACTTGCTGAAGTAAAAAAGCCTGCAATGCTTGCCCCGCTTTTGTGCTCTTCTCATTGGCTCACTGCTATAGAACTGAACGCTAATGATTAGTTAATCTCAGCTGTCATCACTCAGTCAATGCCTTCAGATGACAGGAGCTACAACAGCGAAAATGTGAAGCGCTGAAGATGAGAGAATGAAAATAACACTGACAGATTTACCTAAAGTTACTAATAATGGCACATCTTATTGGTGATTATGTGCTGAATGCTAATCCACCATTTACACTTTTCCAAGAGTGGATAAAAGACTCCCAGTGGCTTCAAGTCCTCTATGAAAATAACTAAAGCCATTCACTGTAAAGTCTGTGGGATGGAGTATGCAGGTAAGGTGTTTGCAACTAAATCTACACAAATTAAAAACACGAGAGGTACTGTATAATCCTTTATTTAATCCTCTTGATGCTGTCAGCCGTGCAAGTGGCAGCTATATGTAACATTTAACACAGCTCATAAAAAGACCGTTATTGCTACTAAGATGACGTCCAAATAATAAGTTATATATCAATATAAATGTGGGGTGGAGCAATGGATTGCGATGCTGGCTCAGCATTGTGAAGTTTGTCGGCCTTCAGCGATGGACGATGGCATCGTCTATCGGCACAACCCTATTTAGAGACATACTTTTTACATAAACGCACTTCAGCAGCTTTTATTTGAGAGCACACAAGAAGATCTGCGCTTAAGCAGCATATATTTAAGGGGGCGTGCAAGAAGTTTTGTGCACAAGCAGAGGAGATCGGCACGCAAGCAAAGAGATTTGCATGCTCATGGCTATTACATAAATGCGATCTCAACTTGTAATAATGCGCTCACAACATTTGACATTGAAATAACGGCACAGGTAGTTGGTAGATCTGTGTAAAAAAGGCCTGCCGCCACAGCCGGAAAAAATCCTGGAGGAAACACTGCTATGTATACTAGTTCCTACAATTTCATTAGAATCCGTGAATAATATCAGGTGGATGCTGCATAAAAATGCCAATGCACCTGACGTGTTCCACATCCCGAATCAGTACACCATTACTTACAACGGTGACATCATGATCTCATTTAATTGTGAAGAACACATCACTCACATTAAATCCTGTCTCACTCAACAATGCTACGGAAAAAAATCTGAGTTTTTATTATTATTATCATTTAATGGCAAGCGGCAGCATGTTTGTCTATTAGTTTGTTGTCATTTTAAGCACTTAAGTCACACATTCATTTTCTCTTAACTGTTTACTTTCACTTTAGTCACAGTAACTCTGTTTACATGAAAATCTTGTGTGGTTTGACAGTTCTAGCATGATCAGAAGTCAGATAACCTAGTCTTCACTCTTCAGCTGTACATGTCCAGAAACCAGATACAGCTCTACCACTGAGATAATATTTGATGTGAATGTATGTTACATACAGTATACAGTGGCACCAGAATTGTAACTGATGAACTATTATATTTCATTAAAAGTGGATTGTTGAGATATTTTAATCTGACACATCAAAAATTGCAATATCCCACACCCTTATCCACATCTCCAGTTAGGTTGGCCCTTTATTAACATCACAGTTTTCTCTCCCACTCTGGTTAACTCCCAAGAACTCGCTATTCTCCCTGAGGGCATCTAAACAATGTGTCCCTCTTTCTGTGTTTTAGCACCACTGGTAAGTAGTATATTACTTTCTAGCAACATTGAGGCAGAGAACCAAAAAGCATTTAAATAACTTTAATAAATAAACACAAAACAAACCTACCCCGGCAGCCCCTTATTGACAACTGCTGCCAAAATAGAAACCAAACATAAAGTGTCCCAGGCCTGGTCATCTCTTATCTCTCTCTGTTATCATTCCTTCTTTTATCAGTCCTCCATGAGAATTGAGACCATTATGGCACATAGGTGACTGTCATCAATGCTTACTTGCTCCGTTTTCATTGCTCTCGACCATAACTCTGGTCACCCTGGTGTCACCTGCACTTTAAAACTAATACAATTTGGCGGCCTGCTAAGTCAAATGATGTAAGGGCCGGTACACACCAAAGCCAACGCCAAACAACTAGTGAAGATAAAAACCAACTGTGCTGTTGCATTGCGTAGGCCATGTCGGGTCCTATTTGGACTAAAAACGGGCGACAGCCAATTGAAAAGAAAGCATAAGTTCTACACCTGTGTGAGTCATTCCACAAACAGAAACCTGGAACTTTTTATGCATACAAACTGTACATAGCGTAAAACAAGGAAGAATTTAGTACCATTTTCACAGCACTTGTCACTCAACACAAAATAATTCACTTGATTATGTCTGACAATCTAGTAATCCATTTATTCATTTTCCTGTGGTTTAGTACCTTTATTAATTAGAGGTCACCACATCTGAATGAACCCCCAACGTATCCAGCATGTTTTACACAGCGGATGCTCTTCCAGCTGCAACCCAGTACTGGGAAACACCCATACACACTCACATTCACATATAGCACCCGGAGAAAACCCACGCCAACATGGAGAGAACAAGCAAACTCCACACAGAAACGCCAACTGACCCAGCTGTACCTCGAACAAGCGACAGAGTGCTAACCTCTGAGCCACCGAGTCGCCCTCTATTAATCCATATATTTTGCAAATATTTGAGAAATGAAGCGGAATTACCATCAGCTTCTGTGTTCCCTCTTGACTTGAACAATTGCTTGGTTTTGTCACTTCAGCTTTAGTTCTCATGCTCTGCTCAGAGTGCTCTCTTTTGCAGATGTCTAATGTCAATTCTACATGCCGAATCAGGACAACTTGTTTTAACATTAACCTGACAAGAGGCACCGCTTGCTGCCCAATGACTGACCGCTGGCTTGGTGTGTTCTAGTCTTAAGAAAGTACCTGTATGGAAAGTCATGCCAAAATTGTGCACAATTTAATACCATCAAATGATTCTTATCTCTTATTGGTCAATATTTGAACTAAAACATGAAAACGGGGCAAAATCTAGAGATTTGAAAAAATATTAGCAGCATTAAAAATTTACCATTATATTTTTTTAGTATTGTTACTCTGAACGACATTTTAGTGGACGTCTTCCTTAAATGTTAATATTTTCTGCTGAAATGAGATGAAACAGGTAAAGTATTAAACAGCATCTTAATTAATGATTTGCTTGGAGATCAGTAAGACTTTACATTAAAGATTAATTTAGATTTATGGTTGTTATTAGGGTTACAATTTTGTTTGTTTGTTTGTGAGACTTTATTAATCCCAATAGTAAATTCACATGACACAGCAAAGCTTTTCATACTAAAAAAAAACATCATTACTGCACATTAGTTGTCAGTTTAATGCATGTATTGTTTGTTTGCATTAATAACAATATTTTCTAATGATTAAAACTTGTATAATGGTGATAATTAATAAACTGTGATGATGCTGTGGTTATCTGACCGTAGTGAGGTATGATGGCCCAGGCCATGGCGGAGGCATAAATCTCTCCAATCATCCAGAACATGCAGAGCCAACTCAGATGCTCGCCACGCTTCTCTCTTGCCAACACCTCAGCAAAGTACGAGAAGACGATGGGCACCGCTCCACCAATCCTAGAGGACAAGACAAGGAGGAATTAAGCAGAGAAGCACATCCTCAAGGCCAATGGAGAGGACCTATATGAGGAGTTTATAGGGACAGTTTATACAAAAATTAAAAATGTCACCTCTATTTTAATCCACTTGTTTCAAACCTGTTTGAGTTTTTCTTTTGTTGAACAAAATTTTAGGTGAATCATTTCTTTAAGATGGCTTCTTTTATATGTACTTTATAGACTTTTTTGAAACCAAAGAAACATTGATCTGATAAACTTTTTAAAATGCATTTAAAGGTATGCTGGTAATGATATGATGTACAATTAGTGTTTAACTGCTAAAACTCTCAAAAGAAATGCCTTCTCCTGAAGGCTATTAAAGGCAGAGTTCACCCAAAACTGAATAAAATGTAATCATTAACTCACCCTTTACTTGTCAGAAACTAGTTTGACTTCGTTTCTTCTGTTAAAATATTTTGAAGAAGACAAGAAACCGGTAACAATTGACTTATATTGTATTTGTTTTTCCTACTTTGGAAGTCAATGGTTAGTGGTTTCTAACATTCTTTAAAGTATCTATTTTTTTCTGTTCTACAGACTACATAAAACTTTAAAAAAAAGGTAAACACTTGAGGGTGAGTAAATAGCAAGTGCATTTTCATTTTTGGGTAAACTATCCCTTTATCTACTTAAATTTATTCCTCTCTTACGGCTTTTCTCATTCTCTTTGGTACATTTCTTAGATCAGAATTGAAATTTGCAAACCAGTAAGTGCATTTCTCAAACCAACACGTACAAATAGCAAAACACCATGGATTACCTGCAAAACCAAGTCTCTTGCTCAGAATCCTTAGTTCATCTCTCAAAACTAAATATCTGTGTCAGTGAACATGTCAGTGCCGTCAGAATGACAAATCCTTGTGTCATTGTGTGTGGATAAGACAGTCAAATTACTTAGTCATATTAACAATATAACAGTGTACTCTGAAGATTGTTCTGATGTAAGTGATGTAATCTGACTATATCAATTTGTTGTTGTTGTTGTTTTTGTTTTGTTTTTTTGCTGTTTGTTCTGTAATTTGTTGACATATTATGTCATTGAGATACAGAAAGGAGAAAAAACAGCACTGCATAGCACAAGAAATAGCAAAACAAAAGTAAACATACACATAGGACAACCTCCTTTCAGGCCAGGATTCACCTGGGAGAAATTTACCAGTTGTAGACGGATTTACAAAAAAAGTCTAATGGAAATTTATAGAAAAATGCATTATGATAAAATATTATGACAACTTGTTCAGCCATTGTGCATGTAAAGACTTAAGCTATGCACAAACGATTAAATGTTGTGGGGGGTGAGGCTTTTCAACAGAGACCAAAATAATACATTTTGATCAACATGACATAAGCAATTGATAATGTAGGAAACATCAGAGAAATGCACATAATCGTTTGTATGGATGTACAAAAGCATTTGCAACTTAAGAAACAGCTTTTTGATAAGCACATGTGACACAATGATATGATTACTGAACAGGGAGTTTTTGAGGAGTTCAATTCTGAACTGAAAAATAAGAAAAACTGTAACAAATGAAGTGCAAATCATTATTTTTGTAAATCTTTTTTTCATGAATTTTACATTTTGAATGAGGTTTTTTGTTTAAAAATCGAACAGAAAAGCACTACTGGTGTAAAAAAAATACAACAAAAAATATAGTGTCTCCATTTTTTTAATTCAAACTCTACACTTTGTCTACGCAGAAAAGCAATCAGTTTTGTCTCTAAGATTACATTTAATTGATACTACTGAATTAATTAGTGTTTTTACTTTATTGACTTTTCAAACCAAATAAATGTGAATCTGAGTAGTTTTTTAAGTGTATTTAAAGTTATGTTGGTAATGGTATGTACAATTAGTATTTAATGGCTAAAACACTAAAAAGAAAGCATGTTCTTCTTCTGAGGGTTATAATTGGTATATGTTATCCAAAACTGGAAATATCTGTAATCATTTGCTGACTTGTTCCAAACCTGTTTGACTTTCTTTCTCCTGTTGAACAAAGAAGAAAATATCCTAAATAAAGCAGCAAAACTATAACCTTTGACTTTTATAGTATTTGTTTTCCCTACAATGTAAGTCAGTGGTTAGTGGTTTTTAACATTCTTCAAAATATCTTCTTTTGTGTTCTACAGACTAAAAGAAATTTATAATGATGTGGAACCTTGAGGGTAAGTAAATATTCATTCATTCACTTTTATTTCGGCTTAGTCCCTTTTTTAATCTGGAGTCACCACAGAGGAATGGACCGCCAACTTATCCAGCATATGTTTTACGCAGCTGATCCCCTTCCAGCTGCAACCCATCACTGGGAAACACCCATACCCACTCATTCACACACATACTCAACGGTCAATTTTAGCATACCCAATTCACATACTGTATAGCGCATGCCAGAGCACCCGAAGGAAACCCACGCAAACACGGGGAGAATAAGCAAACACCACACAGAAATTCCAACTGATCCAGCCGAGCCTCTAACCAGTAACCTTCTTGCTGTGAGGCAATTGTGCTACCCACTGCGCCCTGTAAGTAAACAGCAAGTGCATTTTCATTTTGGGTGAACGGTCCTTTTAAAATTATCGCTTTCTTAAGACAAATGTAAATCATTACATACTTTTGTAGATATTTTATAATTAATTTTAAGTCTTGAGAGATATTTTTTGTTGTAAAATCAAACAGAAAAGGTCCACTGGTGTAAAAATAGTGTCTAGATTTAATTAAAACACTACAGTAAAGCACACAGAAAAGCAATAAGTGTTGTCTCTGAGATTAGATTTAATTGCTACTACTGAGTTAATTAGTGTCTTCTTCAAGATCAATATTTGAAGGAAAAACACAGGCAAATGCAATGTAAATTAATTGCTAAGCATTACAATTTTAGTTTTTATAAAATCAAGGTTACCTCATTACTTACCTCATTACTTTACTGAATGTATCTGATACTATCCTTTAAAAGTGTTTAAAGGTCAACAATTTTATTCAGTAAGGGTTTGTGCAATTTGCATGCAATGAATGATCAATTGGTTTCTGTGACTAAATACATTGTTTAAAAAACAATACAATTTATAAGCACATTGTACTTTTGAATTTTCTATTTAATCTTAAAAAATAAACCATGGTTTTAACAAATAAAATAAAATAAAATAAAATGAAATAAAAAACTAAAAAATACAATAAAATAAAATTGAATTTCTCTTTTGGATGACCTCTTTTTGACTGTCTATTTTCTGAAGAATAATTAACACTGACAACAAGAGTACAGATACTGAAACTCCATTATCCAACACAGGAATAAAGTACTTTATAAAATATATTGAAATGGAAAACAGCTGTTTTAAACTTAAATAATATTTCACAGTTTTACATACAATACTTTTCTTTTGCTGAATTTTATTCCAATAATTAAAAAACCTCTGAGAATACAAGAAACTTTTTTTTTAGAAAACAAAATTACATCATCCAATACATTACAAAAATGTACAGTATTAATACAAAATCTATTTCTATGCTGAGGTTTGGGTTAAATCTGCAATTATGGCACATGTGTTAATTATTTCCGAAACATTGCATAATTTTAAAACAGAAAGATGCCACTTATCACTGAGCCCATATGGACATTTTATTTTGCAATGGCATTCAGTGAAATGTTCATTAGGAGACACAAAATCAGAGCAAGTCATTACAGGCTGAAAGTGTTTAAAGCTCCACAGTAACTCCATCATCTGTGTCCGTGAAGCCCCCAGAGAGTCAAGAAAACAGCACTGCAGAGACTATTGATCCAGTCAGATGTAATGTATTGTGTGTCTAAAAAAGACTATTATCTGAAGGATGGGGAGACGTTCTCGTTTTAGGGAAGGCTTGATAAAAATAAAAAAAAACAGTGTTTCTCATGAAGCAGTTAAGAATGCGCTTCGTGTCAGAGAGCATATGGAGACTTTATCTATAGTGTGTTACTTTCTTACATAACTGAGAGATATTCTTTGTTTGAATTTGATCTTAAATTATATACACAGTAAAAAGAGTATTAATTTTAAATATTATAAAAAAATTAATATATTCAAATATTATATGTATTATTTTTAAATATAATTTACTCATGTGATGGCAAAGCAGAATGTTTAGGATTTTAGCAGTATTGAGTTTTAACAAGCTAATTGTTCTTATTTTATTTTAACATATTACTTTTATTGTTTTAAATTAAATTAAAATTAACCAGCTGAAATAAAACAAGTATATATTTTTACATATTTCTTAAAGGTCCTGTGAAGTCCTTTGAAATGTGCATTATTACTGTAAACTTTGAAGTTATCTTAACTGAACCACAAAGAGAGGGTGGGGCATAGAGTAGCTCCTCCCCTTTTTAAAACAGCCAATAGCATTTAGTCTTCATCGGAGCTTTGCCAGCGGGAGTGGTTGAGGAAAAAGCGTATCAAATGAAAAGCAAATGTGAAGCGTCTTAAAGGTGCGGGGCATGTCTGATTCTAGAGAGCATTTGATTGGTCAAGATTTGATGAGAAACTGAAGTATGAGGTGATGTGGAAAAAAATCTTTGATCCAATTAGGGGGAAGTGACAAACTACAAGCTTTAGATGTTTTTATTAGTTTCATAACTTCTAAATAGCGAACTCTGTCAATGTTTCGTAGCACTCTATCTTATAGATGTCCTATAACACACTGGTAGTAATGTCTAAAAAACATTGTTTAAATTTCAAGGGACCTTTAAGATAAGAATGTTCAGCTCAGTGTTATCGCAGCATCACTGAATCACTATTGTAGTTATTGAATTACTTTTTACTTCAGTATTTTCTGCTTTGATTTTAGGTAGTTGTAATCAATGACAGGGGTAACGCATTACAAGTAACACGAGATCCGTAATGATATTACTTTTCTAAGAAACAAGTAAAGTAACGCATTGCTTAAAAAAATCAGTAATAATGTTTCAGTTACTTTTTAAAAATGCAACTTGAGTTACTTTTTAGATTAATTTGGTTTTAAAAAAATGTAATCCGAGTAACTTTTTAGATAAATTAATTTGCTTTTTGAAACAAATTTGCTGAATTATATTGTGCACAATCACGTTGAATGACACTCCATAAGAGAATGAGCTCCCTGCAGGAATAGACAGAAACCAAGATGGCAGAGCCTTACATTTTAGTGATGGAAGTATTATTATTTTAAACACATGGAGACAATAGTCTCAATGGACAGTGGTTTTACTAAATTAATAAGACAAAAATACTATACTTCTATAATACTGTAATACTATAGTAGCAAACACTTTGCTTTCTACTTTCATTAATCATATATAGCATGTATAGTGTCAGGAAGTTCTCAGAAGGTACATTATAACATTTTTCTAATTTTTCTAATGAGTTTTTTTTTAAAGGTAAATGAAGGTGTAGATCAGGGGTCACCAAACTTGTTACTGGAGGGCCGGTGTCCCGCAGATTTTAGCTCCAACCCTAATCAAACACACCTGAACAAGCTAATCAAGGTCTTACTAGGTATACTTGAAACATCCAGGCAGTTGTGTTGAGGCAAGTTGGAGCTAAACCCTGCAGGGACACCGGCCCTCCAGGACCGAGATTAGTGACCCTTGGTGTAGATTTTACATCGTGTCGTTAAATGCAGAGCTACTCTTTTTAAAAAAAGAAAAATAACCTGCAAGTTCTGAAAGAAATCAAGCCTTAGACAGGTATGAAAAGTAACTCAAAAGTAGCGTAATGCATTTAGTGCTTCCCACAGGTTTGAAATAAACTTGCAGTGGTAGCCGGATTGAAACATATCTTTTACCTATATGTTAAAATGTTGGTAGATGTTAACTATTTTTTTTATTTATTATGACACTGTTACTCATCTTTTCTTTTCAATGGGTTAAAGTTATTCTCAAAGGTTGTTGAAATAAAAGAAATCCACTATTTCTCTTACTTTTATGCTGTTTAGGAGCCATGTGCACCTACTGACAGTTAAAGGCTGCTTTCTCTCTCTCTCTCTCTCTCTCTCTCTCTCTCTCTCTCTAAAGTTGCTTTATAGGCATGATGTTTTGTACAGTATTGCCAAAGCATTTTAGATGTGTATAAATGTAATATATTATCATCATTAAATTAATAAAATAAAACGGAAGAAATAAATAACAGACAAAAAAATAAAAGTAGACAAGATTACTAAAATATTCTAATAATTACAAGAATAAAAAGTGCAGATTATTTAAATAAGGCAAAATAGTTGATTAACCATTTCTAATGGTGTACAAATATTTTGCAGCCAGTATAGGTGTCATTTTGTTCTCTCCGTGTATATAGTAAATTTTTTTCTGAGTCGTTTATTAAATAGTAAATCATTTAATGTTTCTCTCGTGGCTGTGCGCCTGCAGTCAGCTGCGAAATTGTAATGCAAAAACGCATACTAATAACGGCAACTTTAGAAAGCGAAAGTAAAACCTGAATCCCGGACATTACAGACGATTCAGAAACTATCGCTGGATACATTTTACATTTACATTTACATTTAGTCATTTAGCAGACGCTTTTATCCAAAGAGACTTACAAATGAGGACAAGGAAGCAATTTACACAACCAAGAGCAACAATGAATAAGTGCTATAGGCAAGTTTCAGGTCTGTAAAGTCTAAGAAGGGAAGTATTAGTAGTTTTTTTTTTTTTTTTTGGTACAGTTAGTGTGATATTCTGAGAGGCAATTGCAGATTAGGAAGTGTAGTGGAGACTAAATAGTTGGGTTTTTAGTCGTTTCTTGAAAGTAGCGAGTGACTCTGCTGTTCTGATGCAGTTAGGGAGTTCATTCCACCAACTGGGCAGATTGAGCGTGAGCGTTCGCGAAAGTGATTTCTTCCCTCTTTGGGATGGAACCACGAGGCGATGTTCATTAACAGAACGCAAGATTCTGGAGGGCACATAGATCTGCAGAAGTGAGAGCAGATGAGAAGGAGCAAGGCCAGAAGTCACTTTGTAGGCAAACATCAGAGCTTTGAATTTGATGCGAACAGCAACTGGCAGATAGTGCAAACGGACCAGCAGCGGAGTGACATGTGCTCGTTTAGGTTCATTGAAGACCACTCGTGCTGCTGCATTCTGGAGCAGTTGAAGAGGTTTGATAGAGTTAGCTGGAAGCCCAGCTAGTAGAGAGTTGCAGTAATCCAGTTTGGAGAGAACAAGAGCTTGAACAAGGAGTTGAGCTGCATGTTCAGATAGGAAGGGTCGGATCTTTCTGATGTTAAAGAGTGCGAATCTGCACGATCGAGCAGTTCTAGAAATGTGGTCAGAGAAGTTTAGTTGGTCATCAATCGTTACTCCAAGGCTTTTCACCATTTTGGATGCAGTAATGGTTGCCCCATCCATCTGGATTGAAAAGTTATGGTGTAGAGTCGGGTTGGCAGAAACTACAAGCATTTCCGTTTTTGCGAGGTTCAGCTGAAGATGATGATCTTTCATCCAGTGTGAAATATATAACAGGCAGGCTGAGATGCGAGCTGGAACCGAGGGATCATCAGGATGAAAAGAGAGGTATAGCTGGGAATCATCAGCATAGCAGTGGTAGGAGAATCCATGTCTCTGGATGACTGGTCCTAGAGATGATGTGTAGATGGAGAAGAGAAGTGGCCCAAGAACAGAGCCTTGAGGTACCCCAGTGTTTAGATGCTGTAGGTTGGACACCTCTCCCCTCCAAGACACCCTGAATGACCTGTCAGTGAGGTTTTTGTTAACAGATCTGCACACACGGAACCAGCAGTAGAAAACGTGTAGAGCGAGGGAAGATTTTCCACTAGTTAATCGATCGCGAATGTTTGGCTTTCTTGGAAAAATACCAAAAAAATTGTAAAAGGATGAAAATAAAAGTATTATTCATGTGTCACCAACATATATACTTGGGTGGCCGTTAATATACTTGGCTGGCCCACCCAAGTAGTCTATGTGTGGGAAGCATTACTTTTCATAAACAGCAACTGAGTAACACAACTAGTTACTTTTTTGGTCAATATTGTAATGCATTACTTTCAAATGTAACTTCCCCCATCGCTGGTTGTAATCATTTTCTTGTTATATTACTTTTACTATGTTTTTAATTTTCCATGTTTTTTACACCAACAACTTTTAACAAATCAATGCATCGTTGTAAAATTAAATGATTACATTACACACTGGTGTATATTGTTATGATGTATATTTCATGGTATTGAAGTGATGTACAAAATCAAGTCTCAATCAAGATCCACATTTTGTACTTGACAAATGTCTCAAACTCACCCAAAGCCAGCAATCATACGGCAGAGAAGGAAGAGCCCATAGCCCTGCACAAAAGATGACAGGAAGGCGAAGAAGCCATTTAAGGACATGCAGATGAGCAGACATTGCCGTCTGCCCACCTTATCAGCCATGCCGCCCCAGAAGAAGGCGCCAACCATCATGCCCAGATACACAATGCTTCCTGTGAACCAGAGGAGAAGAACAAAGTAAACACACACACATAAACACAAGCACTCCGATTCAGATCTGCTTTTTATTTATATTTGTTTGGTAGCTGGTTTAATATATGTGAACTATTTGGATCCGTGCAGCTACATTTCAAAACAAGAACTTTTAAATCAACGGTCTCAAACTCAATTCCTGGATGTACGCAGCTCTGCATAGTTTAGCTCCAAACACCTCCAACTCCTGTTTAATTGTCTTTAGTAGTCTTGAACACATTGATTATTTGGATCAGCTGTGTTTGATTGGGGTAGGAGTCAAACTGCAGAGCTGCAGCCCTCCAGGAATCCAGTTTAAGACCTATGGCTCAATACAATACATGTGAACAGGGTAAAACATTAACTAGTTATCACCATACATCAGTGGTGGAAAAAGTACTGAAAAATCATACTCATGTAAAAGTACCATTACTTGGCCAAAAATGTAGCACAAGTCGAGTAAAAGTATCTGTTGTAAATATTACTCAAAGCATGAGTAAAAAGTAGCCATTTTAAAAGTACTCAAGAGTATTGAGTATTAAATTGTGAAAAGCTGATGCATTTACATGCAATTTGTACATGTGTGTGTAAACGTTACATTCTGTAGTGCATTTAGTTATTGTTTAAGGCCGTTTGGCGATTTCACTTATCATACAGTAAACATCCGCCATCTTCTCAGCAGTGACATGCATCTAAACAGACTCTGGGTCAATGCGTGTAAAGATTTTGGACATCTTTTTAGACATTTTTAATGCTTCCAAATGGTTTGATGCAATTATAAAGCACCCTTGTTTGAGGTTGTTCAGTATGATGTGATTTACTTTTTATGTGTGATTTGATTGTATAGGAATCACAAAACATAAAGTAGCGACTGCAGGTTGAGGAAAAGTAGTGGAGTAAAAGTACTGATACAGCACTAAAAAATGTACTCAAGTGAAGTAAAAGTGCACATTTTTAAAACCACTTAGTAAATTAAAATTCCTGAGGAAAATATGTATTTTGTAGATTTGCGATGTGTTACTTCACACCACTGCCATACATCCCCAAATAAATAAGACTTGCAAACAATTTTGGCATTACACATTTTAGAAAATGCTATATTTAAATATGCAAAAGAGACACTATCACTGTTTCATTAAATATGCATTAAATTGCATACACTCCTAGAATATAAATCTAAAAAAGTCAAGCACAAAATTCTTGGGCCACATTTTATTTTGATGGTCCGTTTGTTGAATGTAAGTTTTATTGTGTCATTATAACCAGCGATCTAGTAGCTGCAGATCGCTTAAGGACTACAAATCCGCCATTTCTGGACTACAAGTCCCAGTCATACAACACACACACAACCGCTTCCAGATCAAGACTGATTACACTCTCACAACTGAAGCTGCAGAAGGACTGATTAATGCACTACATAGGGAGCACAAACACAAACACTGTTGCTGAAGCTTGTTATCATTTAAGTGACATTTTCCAATGCATTTGCCTTGCCTTTCGTGTTTTGAACCTTTGCTTTGTTTTGTTTGATTATTCCTGTATGCTGCCTGCCTTCTTACCATTTGCCTTCTATTTAAACTACGACTCTGGAATGCCCTCATACATCGGTTTGCTCCTGTGTTGATCATTGCTTGCCTGACCATCCTGTCAATAAACCCTGCATTTGGATCCTCACCTTTATTGTCAGTGTCACATCCCCGGTTACATATTGCATCTACATGCCAATTAATTCTCATTAGATTATAAGTAGACTGTTAGGTGAGGGTTAGGGTCATGGTTAGTGTCAGTTGACATGCACTTGCAAAGTTTCTTATGTCTGTTGAATGTTTGTGTCAATGGATATTAAGCAGACAGTCTACTGATACTCAAATGGACCATCAAAATAAATTGTTTCCAATTCTTGTTGCATTTTTTTGGGATATAGTAAGGGCAAAAATTTGTACAAAGAGGATTTTGGGTATCTCTTTTTATCACTCCTAAATCAGAAATTAAAAACAGCCAGAAAAGTATGTTCAGTTTTATCTTCGCCAGTTGGTGAAGCTTTTTCCTCACCGCTGTCGCCACTGGCTTGCATGGTTCGGGACTTGTGGAGCTGCGCATTGATGGATTTGCTCTTCAGTGTTTGGACTTTCAGCAGTGAAAATTAAACCACACTGAACTGAACTCCAACTCTGAAAACTGACACTTTTAATTTACCATAATCTTCCATGTGAAGCTGCTTTGACACAATCTACATTGAATTGAACTACTGAATTGAAAGTTATATAATCAATTTTGCCAATAAGTACGAAAAAAGTCCTCTCGTTAGAAAAAAAAAAAACAAATCTTACAGCTCTGTCTTGTTTCTAGTCTAATAATTAAATCAAGAAGCATTTCAAGACAAGAATTTTGTCTTGTTTTCAGAAAATTGTTAACAATCTTCAGAAGTTCATTAAAAATTAAGTTAGTTTTTTCTTAAAACATCCAAAACAATCTATAAACAAGTAAATTTTGCTTCCCCCAATGGCAGATTATTTTGCGTGTTTTAAAGAAAGATTGTTAAAGATTTCAGATTGTTGAGATATTTGTACTGGAAACAAGAACAGAATCTGCGCTTGCAAAAATCTACAGATTTCCACAGACTTTTGGCCCATCATTGAGTTTATTTATTTAAATGTGCAAATGTGTATTAATTTATATTTATTCAGTTTTTAAATTAATTTCAGTAATGATATTAAATTATATGAAAGTGTTCATCCGATTTATTTAAATTACAGTTTGTAGTAATAACGGTTGTAGTAATATTCTCTATATTAAATAATAGTCTTTTAGTAAAGATATTATATGAGACACTTGCTTTGTTTACCAAATAAGTGGATCTAGATGGATTTGCATTGTAAACAGTAAAAAAAAGGTAATTTTTTTTTTTTTAAATTTCATTACTTCAGGTTTTTAGTTACGATACTCCCAAAATCATTCCGCATAAATACGCAGATTTTTTCTACACCGCATGTTTTGTCTCGCTCTTTTGATAACCTCAGAATACAGGGGTCAATAAATCAGAAAAATTTGGTGTGTGTAAATGCAGTTGAAGTTGAATTATACAGTACAGCTCAATATAGGAGAAAAAAACTGATATATAGAGATTTAAAAATATGTCTACAGAAAAAAACTGCAACAAAAGCAACAGATTTTTTTACAAGTTTTCATTACATGAGACAAAAAAATAACTTTATGAAAAATCTCAAAACTGACTGGTGCATGAAAAATGTTTTCTCTTCTCCTGCCGTGTCTCGCATTAAACTTTCAGCTGACTGATGATTTCACCTGAGGACTGTGTTTGCTGTTTTCAGGGCAAAAAGCAGAAGACTTACTGTGATGATGTTAGCAACACCACAAGGGACTTTCTGTATGATAAAACTGTTGAAACACAAGCAGCCCAAATGACACAAAAATTCCCATTAAAAATGTATTTTAGTGATCTCAGAATTGTCTGCAAAAGTCTTCAGAAAACACAATGAGACATGCTTTACTTACAACATATACTTCATCTGTATGAAAATGTTAACATGTCAATGATTTCAGATTGTATTTATTTGCTAGAGCATTTACTAGAGCAGAGCATACGGTGGGTACAGAAAGTATTCAGACCCGATTTCTATTGATCATCCTTGAGATGTTTCTACACCTTCATTAGAGTCCAGCGGTGTTTGATAATACTGATTGGACTTGATTAGGAAAGCCACACGCCTTGCAGCTCACAATGCACGTCAGAGCACATGAGAATCATTAGGTCAAAGGAACTGTCTGAAGAGCTCAAAGACAGAACTGTGGCAAGGCACATATATGGCCATGGTTACAATAACATTTTAGCGCAACTTAATGTTTTTAAGAGCACAGAGGCCTCCATAATCCTTAAATAGAAGACATTTGGGCTGACCAGAACCCTTCCTACAGCTGGCTGTCTGGCCAAACAAAGCTATCGGGGGAAAAGTACCTTGGTAAGAGACTTAAGATAAACCCAAAGATCACTGTGGCTGAGCTTCAGAGACGCAGTCCGGAGATGGGAGTAAGTTGTAGAAAGTCAACCATCACTGCAGCCCTCCACCAGGCAGGGCTTTATGGCAGAGTGGCCCGACACATGAAAGCCCGACTGGAGTTTGCTAAAAAACACCTGAAGTATTCATAGATGGTGAGAAATAAGATTCTCTGCTCTGATGAAACTTTTTGGCCTTAATTCTAAGCCAAGAAAAAAAAAACAGGCACTTCTCATCACCTGTCCAATACAGTTGCAACAGTGAAGCATGGTGGTGGCAGCAGGTGGGTCTTTCAGCTTCCTGCAGGACGATTGGTTGCAATCGAGGGGAAGATGAATGTGGCCAAATACAGGTATATCCTGGACAAAAACCTTCTCCAGAGTGCTCAGGACCTCAGACTGGGCCGAAGGATTACCTTCCAACAATACAATGACCCTAAGCACACAGCTAAAATAATGGGAGTGGCTTCACAACAGCTGCATGATTGTTCTTGAATGGCCCAGACAGAGCCCTGACTAAAACCCAATTGAGCATCTTTAAAGAGACCTAAAAATGGCTGACCTGACAGAACTGGAGATAATCTGCAAGGAGAAATGGCAGAGGATCCCCAAATCCAGTTGTGAAATACTTGTTGCATCTTTCCCAAAAAGACTGTATTAGACCAAAAGGGTGCTTCTACCAAATACTGAGCAAAGGTTCTGAATGATTTGGACCACACAATATTTCAGTTTTTCTTTTTTAATAACTCTGCAAAAATGTCAACAATTCTGTGTTTTTCTTTCAATAGGGGATGTTCTGTGTAGAATAATGAGGAAAATATGAACTTGAACGATTTTAGCAAATGGCTGAAATATACCTGCAACCAGGGAAGTGACACTGACAACTGAGTTCTGATCCAGGTTTATTGTGGAAGTGAGGCAAGCAATGGTCAACACAGGTGCAAACAGATGTTCGAAGGCAATCCA